TGTTTCAACAACAACAAAAGATTTTTCAACAATGTAGAATTGTTCAGAGCCAGAGACTAAAAGCAGTTAAACCGTTATCTGAGCAGTTAGTAAAGAGTATGCAGGAAATGGAGACGAATCATGAAAATCTTCTGAGTGGTGCGAAAAATGAACTTAGAAAAGAAATGGCTATGCTGCAGAAAACAGCTATGATGGATACTCAGCAGCAAGAGATGGCAAGTGTTTGAAAGTCTCTTCAATCCATGGTATTCTGTTGACTCTTTGAAGAAAGAACTCGAACCTAAGTAATACACAATTATAACATTAGCTATGGGAATGTAAGTCTCTACAGGGGTTTAAAAATTCTAGTTTAGATCATATCATATCACTCCATGGTATTATTAGCTTGTTTATAGACAACCCCCTTTCTGTAAACCCTAAATAAAATCTCAAGAGTTTGTGAGTAGCAGCAATTCTAAAGCTATGTGTACCAGAATTCCAGCTCTTTGGTATTAACAGTGAATTGTCCTCCCTAACACTGTCAATTAACTTGAGCAATAAAGATTATTTAAATTTGAAAAAAAATTAATTGCAATAGACACACAGAACTCATAACAATACTCAGGATTACAGAGTTTATTAGGGAAGTGACCAAGGTACACTCAAGATCAAACCAACTCAGGATGCACCTGTTCTGCAGTCAGAAACGCCTCTTGTCAGCCAAACTGCGGAGACACCTCAGTCTTGTCTTCAGCCTCTCAACCATGTGGCCCCGCGGCCTCTACCCTGCTAAAGCTCGTGTTACCAAGCTCCTTTAGTCAGTGTGTAAACGTCCAAAGGCTACAGTCTACAAGGCAGCCTCCTGACCTAGGCACTCAGCTGTATTCGACACATGGACCTGGATGCCTGCTGTTGCTCCACGTCACCGCCTTTGCCACAGCCTCTGCTGTTGCCTCATTTTTAGGTGGGGATCTCACACTCCACTCATCCTCTTCTTTTTTGATGCTACTGGGATCATCTGTTCCTTGTTCTGAGATGCTGCTTTAAACCTAGAAGGATGTTAAAACTAACCAATTCCAGACTTAGAGACCTGTACACCTTATTTGCATGGTCCCTGGTGTGGTGCTGTGGGCTAATGCCTCAGAATGCAAAGTCATTTGAACTGCAAGGTAGGTGGTTCAAGCTCACCAGCTGCTCCTTAAAAACCCTATACAGGGTCACTATGGGTCGGAAATGACTTGACAGCACTTGACAACAACAAACCAATCACTTGGTGGGAATTAAGAAGATATTAGCTAAAAAGACCCTATCAAGCAAATTCCAGGACCCACAAGTCCCTTCTCCTCCAGCTCCACACCAGGACTCCATATCCTACTATGTTATTGTTAAGTGCCCTGGTGTCAGTTCTGACTCTTAGAGACCCTGTATAGGGATTCCAAGGAATAGCTGGTAGCTTTCAACTGCCAACCTTGTGATTCAAACTCCAGGGCTGATCCTACAGTGAGGCTAAAAATCTTGCAAGTGTCCACCTCAGATGCAACAATCTGAAGCAATGAGTGGGGAGAGAATCATGGTTGCTTTTCTCTCTTTATCCTCTCCCCTCGGGACACTGGGGGCAAAATAGGGTCAGGAATGTACAGCAGAGCAAATATCTTTCTGGCCAGAGAATGAGAGGTGAGGGAAGGGGTCCTACTTTTTCACTTTCATAATGGGAAAATGTTGGGTAGATGGCTTAGAGGAGGAAAATTTAAAAAGCAATCCCATGCACTGGGCGTTTGAACTCAATTCACTGTTTTTTTTGAAAAAAACAAAAAAACCTCCCAGCCTGCCATAGGGGGCATTCAAGACCCAGGGTGAATCAGAGAGGTCTGGGCTCCTCCCCTAGTGCTACCCCATTACCTCACCCCCAGCACCACACCACTTCGGAGCAGACAACTTGGTAGTCTTCTGAAAGAGATTCTCAGTTACTGCTCCATGCCTGGCTCATCAGTTAGGAAAACCAGCAGTAACCATCTGTCCTTTGCTCTAGGAATAACCCTTTATTTGAGTAAGACTTGAATTTCCCACGTGATATTCTCTTCTTACTTGTTATCATCTGGTTCCTTTTTCATCTAAGATCCAACAGGAGAAGACATGCTGTGGTCTCTAGTGCTGCTCCTAGCTTTTCTGGCTCCTGGTAAGTATGTTGCATGGGTGCTGAAGAGATTTCTTTCAATGAAAGGCAGTATTAAGGAATAACTAATTTTTGTGTTGGTGTTCTCTTTACAGGAAGTCAGAAAGCTTCCAACATGGAAATGAGACAGAAGTCAATCATCAAGCCAGCTGAAACATTGGTTTCAATCCCTTGTGATCTTCCTGATCAAAGCACCAAATACGTCCACTGGTACCAATACCAAGAGGGAAGAGCCCTGCAACGCCTCCTTTACTATGACTTCCCTAACAAAAAGGTGGTGTTGGACTCAGGGTTCAGTTCAGAGAAATACCATGTTTATGCAG